CATCTCTTCGGCCTCCAGCTGATTCACTTCGGCTGAATTCTTCTCTGATTCTCATCAAACTAAACCGAGTCGACAAACTTCAGCTGGTTTCTGAGGATCTTCCTTCTTCATGAGCAGCTCGACGATCCTTTTCTGAAGAGGATCAAAGCTTCTGCTTGGTTTCACATCCAGAGCTGATGTTCTCCGACACGGAGCCTCTCAGACCAGCAGGAAGCACTCGTCTGCTTTACTCACTTTTATGTCTTCTGATGTTTCTTTCACTGTTTTGGGAGATGTTTCAGATGGTTTGGTTATTTTCTTTTGCTTGGACATGTTGCTCTTTAGTTCTGGGTTCTGCTGTTCCTCTGCAGAACCTCAGCGTGGCGGAACAAGCCAGCTGACCTACGGATTCATTGGAGGACCTTCATTGATCTTTTATTGATTTACTTTCATTTTTAAAATTCTATAAATATTATGAGAAACATGTTTTGCTCGTCTGATCCAGAACTCTGAGCTTCAGCAGATCTTCCAGTTGACAGCCTGATTCTTACGACCCGAGTCCTACAGAACCGTCGGCATCGATCCAGATGGTGTAGAAACCTCTGACTCTGAAGCGTGAACCAGATGAAATGAGAAGTCTGAAGCTGAATTGATCATGTTGTAGGCCCTGTGGTGGAGCCGCCCTCCACCTGCACCAGGAGGCCCAACAGAGCCGTAAGAGAAGGAGAGGAGGTTCTCAGGAGAACAGAGACCCAACAGAGGTTCTGCAGAAGAACAGGAGAACCCAGAACCTGATGGGGGACCAGAGACGGTGAGATTGTGATTGTCTATCAATCACTGATCAATAACTGCAGCTGCTCCCTCTGACAGTCTGTCTGACACCCTGCAGGCTTTCACAGACCAGAACTAGAACCACACGCTGGGCTGCACGTGGGTTCAGGTCCAGAGGAGAGATCCAGTCCTGCAGACCAGAAGTCAGAATGGCTTTGATCCAGAAGACCAGAATCCAGAACCTGGTCCAGTTCAGAGGGTCTAACCTGGACCACACAGACCAGACTGACCTGGGACCCACTGAGACCATGCTGGACCAGAGGGAACCGATCCAGGACAGACGGACCAGAACCACCTTTAAGGTTTGTTAAAGAGACTCTCTGAGCTGCACTCTGATACTGAACCAGAACTGACCACTGATCTGGGTGTTCTGGTCTCAGGTCCGATCCAGGTCCAGGTCCAGGTCCAGGTCCAGGTCCAGGTCCAGCCCACAGATGCCTGAAGGACTCCTCACACATCAGTCCACAGAGAACAGAATCAGAACCAGCAGGTCCGAGATGGTCCTGGATCCCGAGTCCTGCAGAGGGGACGTCAGGTCCCTGAGAACCAGAACCAAGAGGAGGACAAAGATCCACCCGTCTGCCTTCAGGGGCAGGGGTATTATCAATCAATCAATCAATCAATCAATCAATCAATCAATCAATCAGTCAGTCAATCTATTCAAAGTCCAAAGTCTCTGATTGGCTAATCCAGCTGTCGTCTCTCTCTATAGGTCAACTACGGCTGTCAATCACTGCAGAGGCGGGACAGCTCACCATTCACAGTAAGTGACCAATCAGAAGAGTGCTAGCTCACACCACCAGGTACTGATCAATAATCAGTCATCAGTAAACGGAGGCTGCAGCAGAACAAAACAAGAAACAAACTGGTTTCGTACAGATCAGTAACTGAAGATCTTGTTTAAAAGTCAAGATTGATCTCTGATCAGGTATTGATTTGTTCTTGATCTTCAGGTGTGTGGTGAGCAGAGCCGCAAGTGATTGGTTGTCGCTGATGACATCATCTCAGGTGTGCATGAACAGGTTCTAAACATTCTGCTGTCTTGTCTCTGCAGTCCAAGAGGCCAAAGGGCTGATGGGAAAATCCTGTAGGTCATGTGACTCGTACGTGAAGGTGAGGCCATGATGTCATCATGTTGATTGGCAGGTGCTACTTCACCTGCTGCAGCTTCATGGGTCTGTGTGTGTGTGTGTGTGTGTGTGTGTGTGTGTGTGTGTGTGTGTGTGTGTGTGTGTGTGTTCGCAGGTGGGCGTGGCCTCCGAGCGACATCACAGTGTCGTGATGAGAACAGAGACGGTTCCAAACAGCAAGAACCCTGAGTACAGACGATGCTTCACACTGTAAGAAAAAGGAGAGAACACTGAGAGAACGCTGAGAGAACACTGACAGGACACTGAGAAAACATTGAGAGAACACTGACAGAACACTGACAGTAAACTGACAGAACCCAAGAGAACACTGACAGAACACTGAGAAAACACTAACAGAACACTGAAACAGAACACTGAGAAAACACTAACAGAACACTAACAGAACACTAACAGAACACTGACAGAACACTGACAGAAC